AACAAACAAGGCAAAGAAAACAGCAGTATTATTTTGGTTGACATTCCCATGCAAGCATCGGTGGTCTAAGTATGAGACAAAATTATGATTTTTCCCATCTCTATTAAACCTTTACAACATTTTATTTCTACAATAAAATATATGGGAGCCCAAATATACTTCCTAAATTACTCATTTTCTTTAGCAGAATGCCTTAAAGCTCAGCAATTATAATGAATAAAACAAATTTCAGAGTAGTTTTTTTGTTCAACAAGGAGAAATCAAATAACATTTTATAGATGCATTTATGAATTCATTAAGATTCCTATATTCTTCAAAAATCACCTCTGCAGATAATTTCAAAAAGAAGCATAAAGCTCTCAGAACAAGCTTGCATCTGTTGAAGTATAACCTTGAAATTCTCCACAGCTCTCACATATTCATAAATGGTTGGGACTATCATATCAAACTGTGTTCATCCCTTAGGTACTTTTATTTTCCAATACCATGATGTATGAGAATCAATGGAATTGTGTTACAAATGTGGAGTATAGTCAGCAGTTCCTTGCACATATGGAAAAATAGCAAATTTAAATTTGTCTATGGCCATTTGAGAATAGCACTGTTCTTTTTAGTCTACTGAGGTTGAGTAAACTGAAGCAGAAATGTAAACATGGCTTCAATTCCATGTACATTATCAGTGGTCAGACTCATGCTTGTGAGTAATTCAGCAATTGGTATCTTAATATTATTTTAATGTTTAATTCTTTAACCATAATATACAAATGAATTATTTGAAAATAAGTGAAAAGCAGTATATTCATTAAGTGAAAATTGGCTTCTGGAATGTTCCTAAATCAATAGTGCTTAACAGTACATATATTTTTAGCCCATGTCCTAGTCCAAGCTGCTGGGCAGCCTTGCATGTGGTCATTTAGTGACCCAGGCTCCTTTTCATATTGTGGTCTTCCTGTCTCTTCATCATCAAAGTCCTCTATACTCAGGTAATGTTTGGAAAAAGAGAGGGAGAATTACTTGGGAAGGGGGGGTGTTATAAGTTGCACACATCATGATGTGCATATTTTATAGGTCAGAACTCACTGGAATGGCAACTCTAACCTGCATGGAAGCCTGGGAAATGTAGTTTAGTTCTGAGCCTGAAAGAACAAAGGAACAGGGTTTAGTAAACACCCAGCATTCTCAGCCACAAACATTATGAGCAACAAGTTTATTAAATACTTAATGTAGATATATGTACTATTCACACATATCTATTCTTATACATGTATATAAACCAAAATACTCAAATATATCTGTTCATATTTTTCTCTTTTTTTTCTCCTTCTTTATTTTAAAATATTACTTGAGTAGAAATATTTTTGGTTACATGTCTTGATTTTGTTATGCTTGAGTCAGGGTTATAAGTGTGCAATCACCCAGATAGTGTTCATTGTATCTGTTATTTCGTTTTTGCCCCTCCACTTCTTCCCCCTTCAACCCCACTTGATTTCTACTATGTTTTAATTCCCTCTGTGCACATGTGTGCTCATCAGATAGCTTCAGATTAATAGCAAATACACATGGTGTTTGTTATTCTTTTAGATACTTCACTTAGGATAATGGTCTCCAGTTCCATCCAAATTATTGCAAAAAGCATTAATTCATCCTTCTTAATGACTGTGTAGTATTCCAAAGTATACATATACTACATTTTGTTAATCAACTCATGAATTGGTGCATACTTGGGTTGATTCCACATCTTTATAACTGTGAATTGTGATGCAATAAATATTTCCACACAGGTGTCTTTTGGATGAAGTGTCTTTTTTTTCCTTCAAGTAAATACCCAGTAGTGGGATTCCTAGATTGAACGGTGATGTACATTTAGTTCTTTGAGGAATCTCCATATTTTTTACATAAAAGTTGTCTAATTTTCAGTCCCACCAATAGTGTATAAGCATTTCTTTCTCCCTGAATCCATGCCAGCATCCATTGTTTTTGGACTTTTTAATAAAAATCATTCTAACAGGTTAAGATGATATGTCATTGTGGTTTTATTTTGCAGTTACCTGATAATTAGTGACATTGAGCATTTTTTTATATATGTATTGGTCATTTCTCTACGTTCTTTTGAAAAGCTTCCATTCATGTCTTTTACCTACTTTTTAATGGGGTTGTTTTTTCCTTGCTGATTTGCATTAGTTCTTTGTTGATTGGGTTTATTGGCCCTTTATTGGAAGTATAGCTTGTAAAAATTTTCTCCAATTCTTTAGGTTGTCTATTTGCTCTGTTGATTACTTCCCTAGCTGTGCAAAAGCCTTTTAATTTAATCAAGTCCCATTTAATTATTTTTGTTGTTGCTGTGATTGCTAATGGGGTCTTCTTCATAAATTCTTTGCCTCAGTTGATATCTATAAGAGTTTTTCCAACATGTTCTTCTAGAATTCTCACGGTTTCATGCTTTACATTTAAGTCTTTTATCCATCTTGAATTAACTTTTGTGAGTGGTGAGGGATGTGGATCCTGTTTCATTCTTCTGCATGTAGCTATCCAATTTTCCCAGCACCTTTTATTCAATAGGATTCTTTTCTCCAGTGAATATTATTGTCTGCTTTGTCAAAGATCAGTTGGCTATATGTAGATGGTTTTATATCTGGGTTCTCTGTTCTGTTCCATTTGTCTATGTCTCCATTTTTGTGACAATGCCATGCTCTTTTGGTTACTATAATCTTGTAGTATAGTTTGAAGTCTGGTAATATGATGCCTCCAGCTATGTTCTTTTTGATTTCTTAAATTCTTTTATGCTTCTAAACAAATCATAGGATTATTTTTTTCTAGATCTGTGAAATATGATGTTGGTATTTTGATGGGGATCACATTGAATCTGTATATAACTTTGGGTAGTATGGACATTTTAACAAAGTTGATTCTATTGATTCATGAGCATGATATGTGTTTCCATTTGTTTTTCTCATCTGTGATTTCTTTCCTCAGTTTTTCATAGTTCTGTTTGTAGAGATCTTTCACCTCCTTGGTTAAGTATATTCCTAGGTATTTTATTTTCTTTTTAGCTATTGTGAATGGTATTGATCTTTGATTTGACTCTCAGCTTGACTTGTTATTGGTGTATAGGGAAGCTACTGATTTGTGTACATTAATTTTGTATCCTGAGACTTTGCTGAATTTATTTATAAATTCTAGGAGTCTCTTGATGGAGTCTTTGGGATTTTCTAGATATAAGATCATATCATCAGCAAAAAGCAATAGTTTGACCTCTTCTTTATCTCTTTGGATAACCTTTTATTTCTTTCTCTTGCCTGATTGTTCTTGCTAGGACTTCTAGCACCGTGTTGAATAGAAGGGGTGACAGTGGGAACCCTTGTCTTGTTCCAGTTCTTTGGGGTAATGCTTTCATCTTTTCCCCATTCAGTAAGACGTTGGCTATGTGTTTTTCATACATGGCTTTTATAATCTTGATATATATTCCCTCTATGCCTAGTTTCTTGAAGGTTTTTATCATGAAAGGGTGCTGAATTTTATTGAATTTTTTTTCTGCATCCATTGAAATGATCATATATATTTCTTATTTTGACCACCAATCTGTCTCATCCAAATATCAATAATATTAATATTATTCTAGTCATGTTGCTTCTGTATGTCCTTCTTGTTTTTTGTGTGTCTTACTCTGTGCTGATCTTTGCTCCCATTTCCTTATGGCTTACATCTTCTCTTTTCCAACTATCCTTGGTAGTGGTACTTCCCGTAACAACTGTATTAGTCAGGTAACAGTACCTCATCTCACTTTAGATTTAAAAGGAAATTTGTTGGATTTCATTACCCAAGAAAGATTAGATGCTGAAAACCTTGGAAAGAGTGGAGATATGGCTGGGGCTCAGAAACAAATGGAGCTTAGGACTCCACATGCACCAGGGATCTGTCTCTAGCTCTAATCTTGTCTTCTCTTTGAGTGTCAGGTTCATTCTGTCTCTACTAAACAGCTGCCCAAATATGTCGGCAAACATTGTTTTTACATCTTAGGAAATCTACCACTGGAGAGTAACCCTTTCTCAGTTTCAATTAAAAAATTCCACTTGGCTTAGTCATATGCCCATTCTGGATCAATCGTGTGTTTCTGGGGGAAGGTCAAATAGGATAATGGCAGCCTCCTTGGGAATGAGATACTTGTACAAGTATGTGGAACAGTTCCCAGAAGTGGTAGGGTGGGAGGAAAAGGTGAAATTGGGGAGGTGGAAGTAATCTTTTCAGAAAAAAGAACTGGTGCTAGCAGGCAAAATAATACACCTACTTTTGCAGAAACTCACATATTTTCTCAGCAAATTATTCATCCAGTTACTATACTGTAAAGATTCGCAAACCTAAAAACAGAAATCTTCTCTTTGTTACTAGATTATTTTTCCTTTTCTTCCTTCCTTCTTCTTTTTAAAATTATGATTCATTCCTAATTTTCTTTTCTCTTTTATAAGTTATCATTTTAATTTCTCTGAAACTACAGAGATTATACAATATTTTACTCTCCTTAAACACTATCTCTCTTCTTATATTATTTGGCATTATTATCGGAGGCTGCATTCTCTCTTTGGCCAAATATACCCTAAATATACACCCTTATGGGTAAGCCTGCATACGTTTTTTGACTGTGACCAAATGTATACACCATTATGTAGTACAGACTCACACATGTATATTTATGTAATGCACACAAAAGGAGTTAAAAAACAAAAACTCTTATCTTTATTATATGTGATGCACTCACATATTTATTATATTTCATTTATAAATGCCAGCCACAAACAACTGAATTTATTTTACAACCCTCTGATCACTCGGGTCATCTAACCTCTTATTAGCATTAAAACTTATGGAGTACACTGGCCAATGTCATCTGCTGGCCCCACTGGCTACCTGCTAAACATACAGATCTGACATTACCTAACCCACTCCTCTTGGATGTCAGAGTGACTATGACATCATCAACTCTAGGACAAAACAGCGCATTCCATCTTGAAGAAGTAGAATGCCAATATGTGGGTTATGGTCTATCCAGAAGAGGTTAGTGATTACAGCCACAATTTTAACAGTTCTGGAATGAAGAATTAGTTTACTTATTCATAAAATAAAAGTAAAAATGATACAGAGTCCTTTTTCAACAGAAGATAAACATCTAAAAATCCCAATAGTATGTCCTAAACAGCATGGCAACAATATGAACAAAGTACCAAAAAGTAACAGGTGTACACCCCACAATCTCCAAAAGAGAGTGGTTATTGTTTCTCTACTGTTTCCACTTAAACCTTTAGTGTAAGTTATTTTTGTCAGGACTTGATGAAATAATAAGATTTTACCAAGGAGAGGAGTCAAAGGGCAGGGAGCATCAGGCTGATTGAATATCAGATAACTTGATAGGTCATTTTATCATGTTTTTCTTTTATACCCATATCATTTGAGAAAACATCAGATTAGATAATAATAGTATAATAATAATAGCAATCATATACTATAAAATGACAGAATGTCAGCCACTGTACCTGCTTTATTTAATTCTCAGGGCAACCTTATGAGTATGGATATTATTATCCCTGTCTCACAATTTAGTTAGGGCATGTCAATTTGCCCAAGATCACATTACTAGAAGTTTTGGAATTAGAATTTAAGCCCTGATCTGTTTTATTTCTTAGTTGGATATTTTAATCACATGCTGTACTGCTCCTTGTTCCCTGCCCTCCCAACTCCCAGCAGCCAAGTTCTGACCCATCACTTCTAAAGTTGGTGCCACCATAATCAGTTATACACATGCTTTAATTGTGACACAGAAATTTTTGCAGAGAAGCTCTTTTGGTTGTCTATCATATTTTTCTTCTAAAGCTGTACTGTCTAATATGGTAGTGCATGGCTATTTAAATTTAAAGTAATTGAAATGAAGTAAAATTAAAAATTCAGCTACATTTTTATACTGGCTATGTATCAAGTGCCTGATAGCCATATGTGGCTTATGGGCACCATATTGCACAGCAACTACATACATGTGGGTGTGTGCACACATTTTCACATTTACACAGTTTCTAGGGGTTGCACTAAAGAGCAGTTTGAGTCACAAGCATTCTGACCATTACCTATACTCTTTGAATCAATTTAACATGATGTGATTCTATTTTATTTCCTTTCAGCTTCCTTACTTAATACTCATGAAAATTAATTTCCTGAATCCTGAGAAAATGTCAACTATTCTTATCAATCTATATTTATGTGTCTGGTATGTATTCCATTATTGAAGGTATAATTTATTTTAAAAAAATAGAAAAAGAAAAATACTTTCTCAAATTGATTAAATATTTAATTCTCATTGGCCCATAACAGCCCAGTTCTAATAAGGCACCAGACATGTGGTTAATGCAAATGAAAGTCTTCGTTGTGTCTATACAACCTTGGTGCGTTGGAGTCACTCATTCATTCTTTATCTTTCAGGAAATGTTACACTGAATGACAGACAGTGTGACTGGCACAGGGAATACATAGCAACATGGTCAAATTATCCTGGATCGTTTAGGTGCCATTACAATGTGCTCACCCTGAGTCAAGATTGTCATTGGCTTTGTACCCGGCTGTGTCCCCAGTACCACTTGGCATGTAATAAGTTCCTCCAATATATATTTTTGAACAAATGAATGAACTATTTTTTCCAATTTTTATACATTTGTACATATCTTGGACATGACACTATATACATAGAAAAATAAGTTGAAAGGAGCTGACCTTAACCCATTCCGTTTTCCCCATAGAGGTAGTTTCAAAGTAATTTAATTTTAAGTAAAATTTTCTCACATAAAAACTTCAAATAAATCTTAAATGTGTTACTTAGATCCTACTTTTCCTAATAGGTTTAAAATGTAAGCTAAATTATAAATTGAAACAGCAGGCCTAAAATTGGATATGAATTCCTTTGTGGGACTGGCCATCACACTTCATATACCTGATTCCATAGAAGAGAAGTATTATTGGAATTATGCCGGGGTGAACCCCAGATGTTCAAGCAATGCTCAGGTTTCTAGGCAAAATTAAAATAGAAACCCTTCATTCTGGCAGCTAAAATGCTTACAGTTGGCACGAGGCCTCTCAGAGACTAATGAGAAAGACGAGAGTGATAACACTACATTGAGATTCTATTTCATTATTCATCCCCTACTCTCTACGGAGGCTTTACAAACATTAACTAATGCTCAAAAATATCCCTGAGAGGTAGTTTATCATTGATGTCTTTGTCTTGTACCTTGGAAACCAAGGCATAGGGAAAGATAAAATTATTTGAGGAAGTTCCTCTAAAAAAATATCAACTGCAAAAGACTAGAAACCAATTTTTCAAAATTCTAAACTCTTGACACAATTCATATTAAAGTATTAGGTATATATAGAATAAAAGCTTATAGAACCCAAATCATTTCAATTAAAGACAGTGTTATTTTAAATATCCTTATAATTTGATACATGCAACTATGCTGAAGGTAAGAAAAAGACACATTTTTTAATTCATCTCTCTTTAGTACAGCAACGCAACCTAAAAATTCTACTTCTGGTGTAATACCTTAGTGAATTGTTGCCATTGTAGAAAGAGTCCTGAAATTATTTATAAGACCTTGGTCTGGTCTTCAACTCACTGTGCAGCATTTCACCAGTTGTCAAATAACATTAAAACATGATTTAACAATATAATATTCCACAACATGGCTATGTTATGATCTAGACAGTTATTCCTTTAATGTTGGATATCTAACTTTTATGCTGTTTACTATAATGTTTCAATGGCTACCTTCACATATAAATATGTCATAATCTGCAATTTTTGTTCTATTCCTGGAATAGAATTCAAAGGACATGGTCAAAGGACAGAGAATTATTAACACTCTTACAACATTTCTAATTATCTCTGCTAAAAGATAGTATCAATTTTCTCTCCTATTAGCAGCATGATAGGGTCTACTTTGAGGCACTTTTCCCAAACTTGAGTATAAATATCTTTCAAATAAATGTTTTATAATTTTAAGGATAAACATTTATATATTATTGAATGCTTGGCTGAGAGTGAATATTTAACAGGTGTTAAATACCACCCTTTACTTCATCTTTACAAAACCACTTAAAAACAAGCTTAAAGCAAATATTGGAGTAATTATATATTTTTATCCAAGGAAATAGACTACTATGCTGGTTAAGATTATATGGGTAATTATAAAAATGAACTTTTAAGATTTTATATTTTAATTTGAAAATTTTTTGTTCTATTTATTGATTTCTATGCAGTATCTTCAAAGATAGAAATGATATTACTGGAGCTTTTTAGGGATGTGTCATGTTAATAAAAGGACTACTCACTTGGGAGTTTAATGCTTCTGTTTGTGAATTCTGAATTTGTGATTTGATACGCTGTGAGATATTCACTGATAGTTTAATTTTTTTTTTACTTCCAAATGGAAGTATTAGATGAGTATTACAATATCCACCTCCTAAGTCTGCTGTCATAAACAAATGGGCAACACGTGAAGAAATGCCCAGCAAATGTGGCACATAGAGGCTTCTCCATCAAATAAAAGAGGTGGTTTTTTTTTGTTGTTGTTGTTGTTGTTTTAATCTTGTCCTGGATTTACTTAACTTGAATACGGCTTTCAACTTTTTCCCATTGGAAGAAATAAACTTTGCATTTTCCCATCAAGTGTGTCTAATCAGTGAATCTCCTTCACATAATAAACAAGTATTACTTAGGTAAGCTGCTAAAGCCTAGAATTTTGTCGAGATCCATGGAACCTATCAATGCTAGTCCTTTGAATTAAAAATTACACATCTACCTTATCTTCAACAACATCATAAATTTAACCAAGTAAACTATCCAATTACAATCACTCCAGTGGATTTAAATTATAATTCTGCCTTTAGTGATTTTTCTGACTTAAACTCTTATCTTCATTAGTCTAGGACACTTTTGAGAAAGTGATTCAGTGAGAATAAACCAATCAGTTTTATTATTTAATTTATTATTACTTTTTTTTTTCATTTACCATATGACAAACACTTAGCACTATACTAAAAGATCTCCATCGATAATTTCTTTCCTTTAGTTGATATTCTGTGGCTCTTTACATCTTAGGATATGTCTATATATTTTAACAGTTAGTAAGTGCCTGTTAACAAGATACTACAGAACCATCTTGTACCAAGATGTCTATTCTCCCCTTTCAGAGTAAAAGAATTTTTAGGTGGGCACATGGTACTCAGAATAAAGAGTATATTTTATTTGAGATACTCTAACTTAGGGTTATCTGCAACTCACAACAGAATCTGATCCTATTTTATCAGTCATCTGATGAATATAATTATCAAATATATTTTGAATTCATTCTACACATATCAGTTTGTTACAATGAAATAAAATATATTAATTGGATTTTTTAAACATTTGTGATTGTTAGAAATTCCATGGCTTATCTCTGAGAAACATCAGCTTTGATATACAAGCCATGAATACATTTTTAAATCGTGTAATTACATTTTGTTCGGCCAAAATTTTCCCAAAATCTTATTATCATTTACTCTTCACACACTTTTCTAATATGGATAGAATTCATATGTCTATAACCCAATGAAAGATGCTAAATGGAAGAATTTGGCTCATTACTTATGGTATATTCTATAGTTTTCAGAGACCTTTGCCATTTTTGTGTACTTAATACATAATATATGTGAGTTTTGTTACCCCACAACTGAGTGAAATGAGAGGTTCAATGCGTTGCCTGAGGCCACATAGTTAGCAGGTAACAAATTAAAGGTTAGGATTTAAAAGTTTCTGACCTTCTATGTTTTTCTATTGCTCCCTCTGTTCTCTGAAAAGCAAATATCTTCTACTACAAGGTTTAATTTCTGTAGATACTGAAATTATTCCTGAAAATGAATTTCTAAATATATTTTAGGCTTTTGGATTATCAGTGTGGCTCTTCTATTTTATAGACCCCATATTGCATTCACATGTAGTTTAAACCTTCCAATATTAACTGACAAACATAATCCAAAATGAATAATCATTCATTTAACAAAAGTATTATACATGATTAATAATATCATCAAATAACTGATGCTAAGGCTAAAGAGAGTCAATAAGCCAACATCTCTATCATCAATAATTTCTTTATCATTAGTACTTTCTTGTTAAGAAGCATAAATACTAATAAAATACATACATCTCATGTATACGTTTAATATTCCAAAACTAATGACTTCATAGATCTACAGAGAGTTGATATAATCTTTAAAACCTATCCAACTCAATCAATGTGCTGTTTATTCTCCTTTATCTATAAAGGAGTTCTCAAGTCTTAGTTCACTGTAGTTAATAAACCAATTGCAAATTGCAAAGACATTTGGTTTATCCATAGTTACACAAGTTATATTGAGAAAAAATATTAAAATATTCTTCTACCAAATATAGACTTTAGTTCCAGGCATGCCACTCTGAGGGTTAAGTTTTTGATTTAATCAAGAGATTATTTAAACACAGCAAATATCTTTAACGCAAAGAGTGTTTTATGTGAGTATATAGAAACACTAAACTTGTGTTCCTTGAAATTTGATATTTTCTTTATGTGGGAAGAATTAATTCACTTTGACTCTAAGCTATAAAGGAGTGAATGTCACAGGAGGAAAGGCTTGAATTCTCATAATCCCTAAGAGAAGTTATTGTAGAAGATATTGGATAAGATACACTTCTATTCTAAAGGACCAAAACCATTTAATGAGAAAGTGGTATAGCCTAATGAATTTTGAGGCCCCTTATGCAATTAATGGCTCCAAGTGTTGTCTTTCTTATTGTTTATATTGACTTTGTTAGAATTATTTATTTGCTTTGCATTTAAGTAGATTTTTAACCACTAGAGCTTCCACTCTTCAATACATGCACAAAATCTTCCAAAATTAGAGAATCATTTGGGAACACTAGCAGTAATTTTTCTTTTATGGGATGAAAATCTTACAAATATGAAAGACTGTCCAACAGGTTGGGAGTCGAGTTGCATTCCTAAGTCTTTATGTTGGAAACCAAGAAAATGTTTTAGCTCTTTTTTAGCCCACAAATACATGTTTTGTCTTTTATGATAACTATAATAGATCCTTTCTAAAACAACTCATGAATATACCTAATCTATTCCTGTAGTATTGAAAAAAAGAGTAGGCAAATTTCCCAGACATTTTAAATGTATATTTCTTACATCAAAATGCTTGCTATTTTACCCCTCTGAGGTCAGTAAGTACTACAGTCTTATTCTGGTATTACTGATAAGAAGATGGAGGCAGCAGGGCTCAGATGACATATTCATTACAGCAGAGGAAATTAATGACAGCTCTGGGATCAGACTCAGAAGCTCCTGGCTCGCTTACTGATACTTTGCATATTTGTTTAAAATAAAAATATCTCCCAGAGATCTGACTGTAAAACTCAACAGTGCCTCTTATCATGGTACCTGAATTTTCCCTTTTAACTTAAAAACTAAAAGAATAGTAACATCAAAAAACTTCTATTTCTTATTTTTCATGAAGTTCTGAAAAATGAGAACTATTCTGGTGCACTTGTATGTAAATCCTAAGTGGAAATGTC